GACTGAGTCACCAGCTGGCACCTATTCCCACATCCTGTGCCAGGTCGTAGAGCGCTGATATGGGCCTGGGACCTCTTCTTTCCCTGCTGCCCAGCCTTTCCAGAGTGATCCACACCCCCAGGTTGCTCCTTGACAGATATCCTTGGTGTCCAAAACCTGTCTTTCTGTGCTGACTGTGCCTGGAAACACGACTCACTGTGACTTGTTCTTGGATTTCCCCATTAGGATTTGGTCTGGTGCATTTTCTAGATTTGTTGGGAGGAGTTTGGGTGGGGGAGCTCCATTATACTTCTTTCTACTCTACAAACTTGGCTGTGCTTGCTTTCCTTTTGAACCTCCTCTCCTCCCCCTGTGGATCAGGAAGTTTGTTTCGCTTGTGACTATCCCCTTCATATTAACTTCCTTCTTAACTTCTCTCCCAGTCTCTTCTTGTTTTCCTATTAAATTTAATGTATACCTACACCATTCTTAGTGTCTGTGTATGTGTGTTCAACCCTCTTTTGTCCAGTTCGGAAAAGAATGAGATTCTTTTGATGCCTGCTCCTCCACGGGGGCTCGGACTTTCTCCATGTCCCTTTACTTCTCTCACGCACCTCAAATGTGAGAAACAGCAAGGTCTGCTCCCTTCTTCCTTCATCCTGTGTTAGTCTATTCCTTTAACCCTCTCTTCTCTTCTTCCTCTTTAAAGCCTCAGAACAGAACTAAACCACCCCCATGTTTTAGTTTTTCTTACTTAACTCTCTCCATCTTTTGAAGACATCAAGGCTCTGAAGAGACACTTGTTTCTTCTCCAGGTGGAGGGGGTGTTGGTGTATGATTTTCTTTTTGCAGATAATTGTGCACTCAATGCAGCCTCTGAATCTGAGATGCAGGATAGTATGGATCGATTCTCTGCTGCTTGTGCTAATTTTGGCCGGACAATTAACACCAAGAAAACACAGGTGCTCCATCAGCCAGCACCACACCATCCATACGTGGAACCATTGGTTACAACAAATGGAGAAGTTTGGAAAGCTGTGGATAAGTTCACTTACCTTGGCAGTGTACTTTCCAGGGACGTGCACATTGATAATGAGGTTGACGCACACATTGCCAGAGCTAGTTCAGTGTTTAGGAGGCTCCAAAGGAAAGAGTGGGAGAGAAGAGGTATTAGATTGATTACCCAACTGAAAGTCTACGGAGGGTGTGCTGACCTCATTGTTGTAAGCCTGTGAACATGGACAGTATACCAGCACCATGCCAGGAAACTGAATTGCTTCCGTTTGAATTGTGTTAGGAAGATTCTGAAGATCACTTGGCAGGATAAGATACCAGACACTGAGATCCTTTCTCAAACTAAACTGCCAAGCATTCAAACTCTCCTGCAGAGTGCAACTCCAATGAGCTGGCCAAGTTGTTTGAATGTCAAATGTACATTTGCCTAAAAGACTATTTTATAGAGAACTCATGCAAGGAAGGCGTTCATATGGAGGTGAGAAGGGGAGATGCAGGACATTCTCCGGGTCTCTTTGAAGAACTTTGGAATAGATTGGGAGACACTGGCAAAGGACTGCCCAGCATGGCATGCCTAAATCAATGAAGGGGCTGTGCTCTATGAGGGAAGCAGAATGACAGTAGCTCAAAAGAAATGAGGTGTGCAAATTTAGAGACATCTCCACCCCAAATGTTCATATGGACTATTTGTGTCCAACCTGTGGTAGAACACTCCAAGCTCGTATTGGTCTGATCAGCCACAGTTGGACTTAACTTGACTCCCAATGTAGTGATGTCATTTTGGTCCTCTTCAAGAACAAAGGACAACCAACCAGCCAATCAGAATGTTAACACCATGTCTTTATAAAGCACCTTCTAATTGCCTGAATAAATTTACCTTTCTAGGTTTCTCTGTACTCTTGTGTTTGTTTTTCAGTCACTACTCGTGTCTGATATTTCCATCAGAAATGCTGAAAAGTGTTCTATTCCATTAACATCTATTTTTTCCCTGTAGGATTATACCCAGCTTCAAATGGAAAGTAATTCTTGGCTGTAAGCTTACATCTTTTGCTTTTTGGACTGTTGTATTCCAAGATCTCCTCTCATTTACAGTAGAAGCTGCCAGGGCTTATGTGATCCTCACTATGATTCCTTGGTTCCTGAACTGATTTTTGGGTGCTTGCAACATCCTTTTCCTTGAAGAGGGAGCTCTGGATTTGGGTTATGATATTCTTGGGACTTTTCCTTTTGAGGTTTCTTTTAGAAAGTCATCTGTGGATTTTTTTCAAACTTTACTTTGCCCTATGATTCTAATAGTTCTTGGCAGGTTTCATTTATACTACCTTGAAATATAATGTCCAAAATATTTTTTTATCATGACTTTCAAGGAATTCAATAATTCTTTTAAATTTTTTTCTCCATGACCTGTTTTTGAGGTCAGTTGTTTTTGATAGCAAATATATTACACGTCTCCTATTTTTCAATCTTTTGACTTTGTTCTAGTATTTCTTGCTATCTCATGAAACCATTGCTTTTTGCTTAGTCTATTTTAGTAGACTCTTCCTTGGGCAAAGTGGACCACTTTTTGTTCTAAGATATTTATTCTCTTTGCAATTGCTTCCTCCAGAACTTTTATTTCGTTTTTAATCACTTGAGTCGTTTCATCTAGGCAATTCATGGAGTCCTTGTGGGAAATCCATTTTTTCCCCTTCCAGTCATTGCTTGAAGTAGTTACAGCGTTACTCATGCCTTATTTTGGGGGATCTATGTGTAACATTAGTTGCTTCACTGCCTGAGGGCCAGGCCAGTTATATTTTATTCACTTGAGTTGAGCTTCGAAGGAAGCTAAGGATTTCAAGAGGCAGAGGTGAGGAGCGAGTGCCTTCTAGGCACAAGGAGAGTGTTTACAAAGGTACAGAAATAAGAAATGGATCATGTGACATCTCAGCACCAACAAGCATTTATTAATAACTTGTTATTTGACATGCACTAGGCATTGGCAATAGAAAGACAAAATGCAAAGCAGTACCTGCTCTCTTGGGGCCGCTAGGTGGCACTATAGTGCGTAGAGCCTGGCCTGGAATCAGGAAGACTCATCATGAGTTCAAATCCGGCCTCAGGCACTTACTAGTTGTGGGACCCTGGGCAAGCCACTTCACCCTGTTTACCTCAGTTTCCTCATCCGTAAAATGATCTGGAAAAGGAAATGGCAAACTACTCAGTATCTCTGCCAAGAAAACTCCAAATGGGGTCATGTAGAGTTGGACATGACCGAAAAATGACTGAACACCTGCTCTCAAGGAGCTTACATTTGACTAGAAAGTTAGAGATGGAGGGAACCTTAGAGATCTCGTAGTTCATTTTACATGTAACACCCTATAAAGGGGAGGGAAGGGAATAAGCATTGATATAGCACCTACTATGTTCCAAGCACTTTTTAGAAATACTTCATTTGATCCTCACAACAACCTTTGTGAGGGATGCTATTACCCCCATTTTACAGTTGAGGAAACTGAGGCAAACAGAAGTTAAGTGGCTTGCTCAGGGTCACACAGCTAGTAGATATCTGAGGCTGGATTTGAACTCAGGTCTTTCTGACTCCAGACCCAGTGCTCTATCCATTGCATTACCTATAATTTTTGTAATAATTACTTCATTTTAGATCTGTGGGGCAATATAATGGTCCTGAAGGTCCATTTGGTTCCCTCTCCTTTGGCTTTAGGGTTTATTTTTGAGTGAAAAGTTCTGAGTTCAGCCATAATCTCTCCAAGCCCCTAGTTAGTAAAGTTCCTAATACCTAGTCTGAAGGTGGGCCCTTTGTCTAACCCTAGATTTCTATTTATCGTAAGTCAGCCTCTGACTTCTTTGTGACAGACTGAGGCAAAGTCACTGGACGGGTTTGAGTAGGGAAACAGCAGATTAGAGGGTGGCAGTCTGTGGATGGGCTACATCAGGAGGGGAAGCCAGGGAAGGAGCTGCCCTTTTCTGGGGCTTTGCCCCCAGTCTGTGTCCTTCACTCCGAGATGCCCGGAGAGCTAATGAGCTGTCACCGTCACCGTGTCCTTCCTGGGCCCAGCTCCATCCTCCCCTTGCTCCAGTCTCCCCAGTCCAGAGGCTCACAATCTCCCCTCCTCTTCTCTCCCCCAGGCTCTAACATAAGGGCTTTGATCCATCCAGGAGGTGTAAGCTTCTGCTCACTCTCAGCTCTGATGGTGTGATTCAATCAAAAAGTGTTTTCACTTGGTCCACACCAGGTGGTCAATCAACAAACATTTATTAAAAGCCTACTGTGTGCCAGGCACTGTGCTAAGCGCTGGGGATACAAAAAGAGACACAGTCTCTGCCCTCAAGGGGTTTACACTCTAATGAGGGAGACGATAAGCTAACTACATACCGGCTAAATGGGAAATGATGAAGAGAGGGAAGCCAAATGGGGGCGGTCTCAATCCCAACCTCACACAGAGATGGGGAAACTGAGGCCCAGCGGCTTTACACACTGGGCAGGGCTCCAGGTCCCCGCTGCTCTAGACCATGGGCAGGCATCCTCGACCTCGCTGGGGGCGTCCTCCTGGTTTCAGAACCCCCCCTGCCCCCAATACGAGTTTAGCAGGGAGCACACGGGCTCTTCCCCGGGTGCCCAGCACGTGGTCAGCCAGCCCGGCGTTGGGGCGGAGCTAGTGAAGGGGGGAGGCGAGGAGGCGGGGGAGGAGGGGGAAAGGTGTGTTTCGCGCCTGCTCAATGGGCGCCGTAGGGCTCCGTTGGGGGGGCGGGGTTTAGTGAAAGGGAGGGCACTCGGGCTTCGCGCCTGCTCAGTGGACGCCCGCTGAAGGTTGGAGGCGGAGGTTAGGGAGGGGGAGCTGTCCTGTCCGGCGCCTGCGCAGTGGGTGCGCGCTGGGCTCCGTTGGCGGGGCGGGGGTTAGTGAAAGGGAGGGCGCGCGCGCAGTGAAAGGGAGCTGTCCCGAGGCGAGTCGCTGACTCCAGGGGGCGCGTGCTGTGCGTTGCTAGGCGACGCGAGGCGGGGGCGGGACCTGAGGGACGCACTTCCTGGGATTTCCGCGTCGGAAGTCTCTGCGGTTGCCTTAGCAACTGTAACTCTGAGGGGTCCTCAGTCCCAGGGAGGCTAGCCCCTCCCCGAGGCCCAGGTGAGGCTGAGGCAGCGGCCGGGGACGCGCCTGCCCCATTTCACACACGGGGACGCTGAGGCCCTGGGCCCAGGAGACAGAGGCAAGAACCCGGGACCGTCCCGGAGGACCCCCGAGAATGCGCCTGGCTGAGGATCGTGGGATTTAGGGTTAAAAAAGAGGGTTTACAGCTCCGTAGGTTCCACCCCTCCATTCCACTGATGGGGAAACTGAGGGGCTCGCCCCAAGTCACTCAGCCCGAGAGCCCAGAATGCCGAGCTAGAGCACAGGATTTAGACCCGGGAGGAACCTAGAGATCATGTAGGCCCACCCCTTCCTTTCACTGAGAGGGAGACTGAGGCGTCTGTGGAGTAGAGGACTCGGATTCAGGAGACTTGGGTTTGAGTGCCAGCTTTGGCACGTTAGTTGTGTGACTTTGGACGGGTCACTTCCCTCCTCATCTGTAAAATGGGCATGATCATACCCACAGGATCTGCCTCAAGGGGCTTGGGTCGGGGCGGTGGATATAGGGGGCTGGTCTTGGAAGAAGGAAGACTTGACTCCAGCAGCACAGTGAACTTGGGCAAGGCACAGCCCATCAGAGCCTCAGTTTCCCCATCTGTAAAGTCAGGAGAATAAGAGCCTTCTCCTCACCATGCTGTTGTGAGGGTTGGATGGAATAGTGTAAGTAAAGGGCTTTGAACAGAGGAAAGCCCACATCAATATGAGAGCCCCAGGCCCCTCTTTTAAGACCGTGCAAGAGAGTTTGGATCTGCAGTGATGGAGGGAGCTTCCACAACTGTAGTCCCCCCCTTGGACCCAAAAATACAGTATCTGTCTCTCTAGGGTTAAGTAAGGATCAAATGGGGGCCAGCTACACAGCTTTATCAATTGTAAAACTGTTGGGTAAATGTCAGCTACTAATTGATTCACAAGCACTAATTTAGGGCCTACTATGTGCCAGGCACTGTGCTGAGGTGAAAGTCTGCCTCCACAGAGCTTATGTTCTGAATGGGGAAGCTCACACAGAATTTAGAACTGTACATAATGGATACAAATTAATACAGTGTTAATAATAATAAGGGAGGGGATTTGCTTGAGGCTACCCAGCCAAAAAGTGTAAGAGGCAGCATTTGAACCCATGTCCTGGGACTCCTCTTTCTTGGTTCCAGCTTTCAGGTATGTTCAGAGCAGCCAGTGCCTTGAGTAATGGGTTTTCTGGTTTTTTTTCTTGGCAGCCCCTGTCTTAGTTGCTCTCCAAAGGGAGGATTCCCTCCCTGTCTCTTGCCTGGACCAATGGCGAGTCCTCTGATTTCTCAGTACCTGCCTCCTGACATTGACCCTACCAAAGCTTCCATCGCCTATGGACGACGAGCTCTGCCTAAGCTGAATGAGGAGCTCCAGTCCCCAGATCTGCTGACCCGGCAGAGGGCCCTCATGGCTCTGTGTGACCTGGTGCATGATCCTGAGCACGCGTACCAAGCCATCGGCATAGGTAAGTGGTCTGGACAGCGCAGGAGGCTTCTGTTAGCACATCAGCGAGGTACAGGGCTGCCGACATCTCCAGGAGAGACAGGAGGGATAAGGACTGCTGACCGCACGTTAACTGGAGATCCCTTCTGAGACCTCCAGTAGCTGCCCACCCTGCCTCTGCTCAAACATCTTCCTGCCTTCCCAGGCAGCCCACTCCATTTCTGACAGCTCGAACTGTTCTTTCTTCTATGGAACCCATATCTGTTTCTGTGTCCTGGCCTCCCACTGTCCCTGCTCTCAGGAGCCCCATACAATAGCTTCTGCAGGGTCATCTTACAGATACTTGAAGACCCTGACCCCCACAAGTCTCTTTGGGGTAAATTGCCTCAGTTCCTTCAACCACCCACCCGGGCCGTTGTTTCTACCTGGGCAGACCTCTAGCCTGTCAAAGTCCTTTGGCCAAGGTGGCTCTCGACTGTCGGCCAGATTCCAGAGGTGTCAACAGAGAGAACAAAGGAATGGATCTGAATTCTTCTTCTTGGCCTGGAGACCCTAATTCAGCCTTGGATGGTTGTGGATGCTATTTTACATGGCTGTGGAGGTTTTGGGCTCCTATTGACAGCTAAAATGCCCAGGTCTTTGTCACATAAAGTGGGGTCCCTCCCTTCCAGCCGAGTCTCTGACCTAAGCCGGGCCTCCCTGTCTTGTCCGTGGGTGGTTCCTTTTCTTAACTCCGATGTTGAATGCCCCACTTTCCCCTCTTAAATGTCATATCACAAATTCAGCCCACTTGTGACTGTTAAGATCTCTTGGGGTGTGGTGTGCTAGATGACCATCCTGGCCCTGCTTTGTCTTCAGAGATAGAAAACCAACCCACTGTGTCTTTATGCCAGCCCTTGACAAAACCACTGGGACATCTAGGCAGCGGACAGAGGGGCAGGAAAGGAGCTCTCTGGTGAGACTCTCCAGGGGGCTGGCCCTGGCCTTGGAAGGAATCACTTGCATGAAGCACTTTGGCCATGTTTATCAGATGTGTATGTGATCCCAAGCTTGGGGTGAGAGGAGGAGGGGGCCATGAGAAAAACCAGAACACGGGGGCCCAGAACTAGCATCCCGGAGTGGTGTTAGCTAGGATGGTGGGCTGAGGAGAAGGACAGGCAATTCAGTTAAAGTGAGTATACTGGTGAAGTTGAGTTTTTGAATCCAGGTGAAAGCTAGGGAGGGTATAGCTAGACTGCGGGTCCTGTGGAAAAGAAGCACCCATTTAAAGTTAGCTGGCACCTTGGAGACGATCTGGATGAGAGGGGAGTTGTCATGTGCTTCAGAGGTAGAAGACCGGACTGAAGAGCAGTGGGGACACAACAGGCGATCCTTCTGCGCCTTCATGACATCCTTCCCATGGGCCTTGCCCTGGGCTCAGCACTTTGCAGATGCTGGCTCATTGGACCTGGTAAGTGGTTAGGAGACAGAGGGAGATGGGAGGCAGAGACTCCGAGTGGGGCCTCTGTGAAGGCGCTAGGCCAGCGGGCTGAGGAGCGGCCTGTGCTTTGGACACACAGACCAGGGGAATGCAACATGTGCCCTACACAGCTGAGCACTGAGAGGGCTGTACCCAAGGTGGGCCTAGTTGAGGGGAAGCCAAAATGGGAGTAAGTCACGTTCTGTACTTGCAAATGCTTGCTTGATTAACTGGACTGTAAGCAGTGATGTTATTAATTACCAAGCAGGTTTTTAAGAGCTTCTTAGGGGCAGGGCGTGGTGCTAAGTGTTGGGGATACAAAGAAAGGCAAACTATATTCCCTGTCCTTAGGGAACTCCCAGTCAAAGAGGGAAGCAACATGGAAATAAATAGGTGTGGACAGAGATACCTTCGAAGGAAGAGAAGGCTATAGGAGTTTGGGGGAGGGGGCGGGGAGAGGAGCCCCAGAATGTGTTTCTGCAGAAGGCGATGTTTGAGCCTAGCCTCAGTGGTGAGGGAGAACATTCCAGGTGAGGGACACAGCCAATGCAAAGGCACTGAGGTGGGGGATGGAGTGCTGAGAGTGAGGAACAGGAAGAAGGAAGGCCAATTTGGCTAGATGGTAGAGTTGGGGGGTGGAGAGCAAAGTGTAAGAAGACTGGAAAGGGAGGAGGGGGCAGGGGTCATGGAAGGCTTTGAATGGCAAACCAAGGACTTCAGAGGGGATCTTGGAGAGGGACAGGGGTGGGGGGGGGGGAAGGGAGACAGTATGACATATCCTTTAGGTCAGTCACTTTGGCAGCTGAATGGAGGAGAGATTAAAGTGGGGAGAGATTTGAGGCAACCAATTAGAAGACTAATGCAGCATCCAGGTCAGAGGTGATTAAGGCCCTAATGATCATCACTTTATTTATGAAGCACTGATTTTAGTTTATGAAACAATTTTTGTAATTAAACAGCTGCCTGCCATATGCTGCCCACAGGTACAGGTCAGGGTCCCTGCCATTCCAGAATCGCAGAAGATAAGACTTCTCTTCTTTGGATCTGGTTGGGACCTGAGGCCCCAACCCTGAGGGAGACCCACACTCTGTCAAAGGAGGACAGCTTGGGGCTGACCACCTGGTACTGCAGCAGCTATAGGTTCTTTCTTACTCTGCCTTTACAGTCCTGCAGGCCAGGTCTGTGTCCCTGAGCATGTCCCCAAATCAGTTTCTTCACTCTGGAGTGCCTAGCGGCCAGACATTCATTTTCTCATGGTGCCTGCCGTATTGGTTTAGACAGAATCCACATTTCTCCCCCAAGTCTGACTTGTATGAATTTGAGGGTGGCTACCTTTGAGTGGTTTTTGTTCTCCCCACCTCTAGCAGGGGCAGAATGTGGAACTTAGCACCTTCATGATTTTTATCTCGTCTTGAATGTGTGACTGAGTTGGCTGACTAAGCCTTGGGCAATTCTGGGCTCCCTCCTCCATCTGTCCGTGGTTAACATGTTTTGTCTCTAAATAGTTCACGTGCCTGTGTCTTCCACTAAAACCCATTTGTAATACCTTGTTACTATATGGAGATAACTCTGGGCAGTGGACCACCAGGAAGAAAGGTGGTCTAGTGGATAGAACACAGGACTTGGAGTCAGGAAGGCTTGGGTTCGAATCTCTCCTCAAACACTAACTCTAGGACCCTTGAGTTGTAACTTAACCTTTCCCAGCCACAGTTTTTTCACCTGTAAAGTGGGGATCCTAGCTGGATAATCATCTTGGCTTTTGGGGTGATAGATTTTTCATAGACTGTCCACTGTGGCCTTAGTGGGTGGGTGAGGCACAGTCTGTGTTGGTGGGGGAAGTATCAGACCTGAAACATTGAAGTAATATGTCTCTCTAGCTACATTCCTCCTTCCGTAGTCATATACAACTTCGGCATTTCAGTGGAGATTTCCTGGACGTGGGGGTAGCGTGTGGCCCCTCCCTGCCTCAGCCTGAGTAACACTGTTTTCCCCTAGGGCCTCACTCGGGGTGCTGCAACCCTTCCCCTTAGGCCTCTCAGGAGCCTCTGGGCAGCCCCTCGATTTTACTCCGGCATCAGCCCTTCCCTCATTCTGGGCAAACCTCTCTTTAAAAAAAAGTTTTATCGATGCCTTTTGTCTTTAAATCATAGTCATTGGGGGCAAAAGACCTCTCAGCCTGTCCCCATTCCAGAAGGAGCCCTCCCTTGGCACGAGGAAGCACAGCTGGTGTTATCCCCAGCTGGACAACGTATATCATATTCTACCCAACAACCCCCCGCTTTTCTGCTGTGCGGAGGGAGCCGTGCTTTGTTTTCGGCTTTCTAAAACCACCATTGGTTTTGTGCTGCCTCAGAATTTAACTTCGGTAAATGAAGACGTGTACGTCGTTGCAGTTATTGTGTATACGATTCCTTTGGGTCTACTTATTTTAACTTATTTTACTCATCATACAGTTCCTACAGCTTTTCCCATGTTTCTCTGAATTTCTCAAAGGCCACATGTCTTACTTGCTCCATTCCTTTATATTTCTATGTCATAGTTTGTTTTTAAAGCCATTCTCCTAATCAGTGGGTGCCCACTTGGAGCCACCACTGGCAACAGAATTGAAAACAAGAAAGAGAAAACTGAAATGTCCTTTGGCAACCGGGTAGCCCCTTCTGCGAGTCCAGGCTTCTCCTTAAAATAAAAACCTCTATCACCAGTACTCTTCCGTCGTCACACGTGGCTGTAATTCGCAGAATATCACCATTTCCAAAGACCCCAAACTGCAAGTTGCCCAGAGAGCAACAGAATGTCGTAGGTTGGGAGTAGGCAGGCTGCCACCTGTGACCCCCAAATAAATTGTGTATGAGGAACTCCATAAAAGAGACCATGCAGGGATGCATGACCATGTAAAACATAGGGACAGTTTTCAAAAGACAAACTACAAAATGTAAATGACCATTAGGTCATGATTTGGGGCCTGAAATAAAAGGCACTTTGAGGTCTTTGGAAATGGTATTATCCTCCGATTTGGAGAAACGTGTTGATGGAATAATATTGGTGTTCTAGGTTTTTATTTTAGGAAGAAGCCTAGAGTCACTGAAGTACTAGAGTTCTCAGAGTACATTCCAGCTTTCTCTTTTTCCTCTTCAATTCTCTTGCCAGGTGATCAGCCATCTGCAGTGTCTGTACTGATGGACTAGCTCAGGGGGCTGTCCATCCAAGTGAATCGCATGATCTGGTCACTAGGCATTCTTCATCCACTTAGTTTTTCCTGTGTGGATTGTTAGGCTAAATGACTGTGAGTCAAGCTTGGGAGGCTCACCAAGGTCCCAGAGTTTGATGCCTTGAGTACAATGCCACCAGCAAACAGCTGGGGATTCTTCCTTTAGGACTGCTTGCGTGATCTCCACGGCAGGGGCAACCACCTTGCCTAGCGTTTGCCCCAGTATTTTATGTCTTGCTTGCTATTGATAACAAGTATTGTTGACCAGAATTAACTCTGTTGTTACATCTGTCAGGGAATCTTGTATGAGGAAATGTGGCCTAATGGATAGAATACTAGATCTGGACCCAGGAAG